CTCATATGACTTCTCACCCCAATTATCATTACTTTTTATTTTCAAAATAATATGATTTATTGAATTGTCTTTGAGTACATCCATAATAAACAAGAAGTTTTTGTTAGAAAATTCTTTAAAATAAAGAAATGGAAAACTTGTTGATAATCACAAACAATGACTTATCTGTCAGTTTACACAAACTTATCATCAATTTAACCGAGAACATAAAGCCGTAATTATTACAAATATACGAAGTTTTGTATAGTTTTGTTAATTTGCAATATTAATTGCTTTTAAGTCCTTTAAAGTATGGACTAATTTTGTTGTCACTATAATAATACAATACATTAATCCCTTTAATGAATGGATGTTTTGTTGAATAATTGGCAATAAATTGAATTGTTATTCATTGACAGTAATGCGTTTACAATACAATTGTAATTTGTTTTTTTTATGTAAGTCTTGTTTCAAAAGACTTGTTATTCTGCCAATTGTTTACATTTGATCAAATATTGGTTATTCTGGACTAGACTTTGAATCAAACAAATAGTGTAATCAGTGGTGAGTCGATATACACTGTCATACAGTTAAAGCGAATAAACACTGTATTTTACTTTCGTTAATTGAATCCTATTATGACTTATACTTCATTTCCCTCATGTCTTGCTGTCGTCCATAAGTTTTTCATTTTATATATCATTTTCTCTTAACTCAACATTTGATCTCATCGTTGATATGATGGAAGATTTGCCACATTTTCTCAATCTAATCATTTCATTAAAATACCATTCAAAACAACATTTGGTTCTTAAATGCAATATATTTAATAGTACTTTATATCTGATTTTGTTTATCAAATTTTTCTCAATCAATGACCGCAAAGTTAATAATCTTTATTTCACTTTTTATGTAACGATATTTACTATAAAAGAGTGACTATTTAATGGAAATTTGTTATAAAAGTGTTTGCAGTTGTAAACAAATTGTTTTTACGCCAATAATTAGCATTTCTGTGCTTTTCCTCTTCTCCCATCCCATTAACACTTCTGTAAATACTGTCCCCAATTAGCGGACAGTTATTCTCATATATTGTACATCCCTTTCCCATTGTGCGTGGCCTTTGAGATATTTATTTGTGGATAGCATTTCATCTGAATATTCAATTCTTTCATTTTCCTAATAAATGATTTGAAAACTATTGAACCAAAGTTTTACAAAATGAGATGTAATATGATAGCCGAGGATTGACATGAAATCTCAGACAATTGTATATGAATGAGACATTTATTCAATATTTTCTAATAAATCATTAGAGAGTCGTTTTATTTGTGATAATAATTAGACTAAAAAATTGATTGTATCAGTCGTTCAGTGCTTCACTCGTGTCTACCATCAGATCCAATAGGAATTGTTGAACAAAAGTCTTGATTTGATTGGATTTTATATTTCTAAAGATTCAGTGACTTGTAAACTGATGGCATTGTATATTAATATAAATATTTGTTGTGTTTATCTCATGACTTAGAAATCGCTTATTTATTCTGTATTTATAGAACTCTACGGGACAGTCGTCTGGTGTGGACAGTCAACCAAATAGTGGTGAAATGACTGCAGCAGTTCACTGGTCCAGTGATGATATTGACGATGCATTGGCCGCTGATTTCGACGGCAGTTTATCGGGTCTGGGAATGGAGCTTGGTACAAATTCGTTCAATTTTTCCAGCGCTCTCATGGCTCTGCCTAATCTGAGTGGTCTTAAACACGAGCACCAACACCATCACCACAGCCATCATCTCAATAGCCATCACCACCACAGCCATCACCACCAGCACAGTGTCGCCCATTCATCGAATCACCAAAACTCTCGCACTTCTCATTCCGAAGGCTCCACAACCGACAGGAGTAATGGCGCCTCTCCTCTACTCCACACCAACTCCGATGAGACCAACCGTCCCATAGCTGTAGTTCACGGCAAGAAGAATCGACTCGCCTATGGAACTGAGGACGAAGTGGTCACCACTGCTATCAAGAGATTCTGTTTGAGTAACGAAAGGGAAAGCAATCTAAACGAACACAACAACCGATTCCTTGTGTCCAACAGTTATATCAATGACGACGAGTGCAATGACGAGTGCGCTGACGATATCCGTTGCCAACCCCGACACTCCTCCTCTGTTCCCGATCTTCGGACTACTGTCCCCGGAGTGACCACTCAGTCGCACTCCACCGCATCCTCGCCGTCGTCCTCATCGACACCCACTCCGACCAACCCATCAGTTTTGGCGCAAATACTATCGGTTCAACAATTCATAGCCAACTCTCCGCCGCCCACTCATGAAGCCGTTCCGTCCAATCCATTGGGCACTAGAAGTGCCACCAAATTCCAGTACGTGTTGGGAGCGGCCACCAGTATGGCTGTCAAACTGCACGAGGAGACTATGACTTACTTGAATCAGGGTTAGACTCATTGCCATTTTAATTGCTAACAATTACTGACATATGTTTCACTTTTAGGCCAATCATATGAAATAAAATTGAAAAAAGTGGGGGATTTGACAGAAATGAGAGGAAAAATGCTTAAAACCATTCTTAGGGTTGGATTTCAAGAAAGACGTCTTCAATATATGGAAAAAGAGTTGATATCTCAATGGAAACATCAAAGGCCTTCGGAAAGGATTCTTGAGGTCGACGTTCCCCTCTCTTATGGAGTCCACGATATATTCGATGACCCGAAAGATGTGAACAAATGTGAATTCTTTTGGGATCCGACCAAAGAAACGGGAGTTTTCGTCAAAGTATTCATTTGTCATTAGTTTCGAAGGAATTGTTTATTAATTATTTATTTAATTTCAGGTCAATTGCATTAGTACTGAGTTTACGCCTAAAAAACATGGCGGAGAGAAAGGGGTTCCGTTTCGGATTGTGATCGAGACGTACCCACACAACGGCCACAGCCCGGCCTCCTGTCTGCACGCGGCCTCGTGTCAGGTGAAAGTGTTTAAGCCTAAGGGCGCTGATCGCAAGCATAAGACAGATCGCGAGAAAATGGGCAAAAAGCCGCTCTCGGAACAGGAGAAGTTCCAGCCCTCCTATGACTGCACTGTTTTCATTGATTGCTCGCTAGACTCGCTGTTCTCCTTCAGTGCACCCGTATCTCAATCTACCTCTACCTCCATCTCAAACATAGACCCCAACCCCTCGAAGACTAATGATTCAATTAAATGCTTATCGCCTGAACACTCGTCAACACCTAAACCGCTCGTAATCAGCAGTTATTGTGACAGCGATTCGTCACACGATTTAGTGATTAATACTTTGCCGACCACTCAGTCCGCCAACAGTGCCTTCAAAGCACTGGCTATCGACTCGGACGCCGAACAGACCACTAAATGGCTGCAAACGAATCGATTCAGTTCTTACACGAGAACGTTCTCCAACTTCGCCGGCGCCGACATCTTAAGGCTCACGCGTGAAGATCTCATTCAAATCTGTGGCCTTACGGACGGCATTCGGCTTTTTAATGCATTACACGCACGGACTATAAGACCTCGGCTTACGGTTTATGTGAGCTCACAATCCGATGAACTCTATCGCGCCGTCTATTTAGAGAATTTAACGGTTCATGAATTGACGGCCAAATTAAATACAATTTTATTACCAAATAATAAGATCAAATTGAGTCGAATCTGTTTGTGCGGACCGTCCGGTATTCATATTTTAGTCACCGATGATGTCGTTCGCAATCTTTCTGAAGAATCAATGTTTTTAGTGGAACTGAAGAAAGGTATCACCATTTCTGGCATTATATCTGATTAGATATTAATTGAAATTTTGTTTGTTTTTTGTATTGTAGATCAAAGCGGAGGCAAACTTCAGGCCCTACTTAAACCATTTAATAATTGAAAAGCATTTATAACCAGTTTTCCACTCAAATTGTTATTCATTTATTGAGACTTTTTTGTTATACTGTACTTTAAATTCAAGACTTACTCCAATCACTGACTTGACTGGAGTACAACTTTAACAACGTCTTAATCATTGGGTTTTATATTCAGAAATATTGTAGTTTTGATATCTTTTATGGAAAATATTATATATTAAATGTTCGGACATATCATTTAACTTTCAGTCCAATGGAAAGTTAACACAGGACTAAAACCATCAGATTTTCTCATAAACTCATTGATATTGTCAAACACTAACTCATGAGTTAAACACATCTTTGGAAACAATGGTTCACTCATTTTATATCTTCATTTAGCGAATAGTATTTCATTTTATATTAAAACAAATTATTTTACACCATATTTTCAATTGAAGCCCTTTACAATTAACTGTTTATTTACTTATCGTTTATTTTGAAATTATTATTAACTTGATTTTCATTTCTGATGTTTATAAAAGACTATGCAATCATTGAAATTATTAAAATATTTAATGCATTTCTTTGGACCCTTTCGCCAAAACTTTAGCCCAGAATTCATAGCGATTTATCAATAATATCTTGAAAAAACGTAACATACAGTACGGTATGTTAAAACATATTTAATTAACAACTAACCCTCTATCTGTTTAACGGTGTGTTCACTTTATAGGCAATTATCATATCCTGATTTAAGTTCAAAATTTTGGTATATTTTTTTTAACATACAGTACGGTATGTTAAAACATATTTAATTAACAACTAACCCTCTATCTGTTTAACGGTGTGTTCACTTTATAGGCAATTATCATATCCTGATTTAAGTTCAAAATTTTGGTATATTTTTATGTTTTACGAAATGTTCATTTGATTATTTTTTGTTTAAAACGGCTTTTAACGTTGTTTAAAAGTATTCAAACCATTGTTTTGTGATAAGATGTTCAATCATTAATTTACAGATAACTAAATCAATTAGAGATACATATTTTTAGCTAAAGTTTGCAATTATAATCTCCCGGTTTTATACAGTATATGATATTACGGTACTGCATAATACAAAACAATTTGTTTAAAAAATGATAAAAACTGAATTTGGTTTTAAAATGAATAAATTGTAACAAATGTAAAATTCTTTTATAAAAAAATATAGTGCCATAAATGGGAATCAATATTTCAATTGTCTGTTTTTGTTCATATTATTGATAAATAAAATGCCTATTTGTATCTATTGTTATAATTTAAATTGTTTTTATTCTCATTATTACACATGTTTTTGGAATATTCAATATTATAACAAATAACAAGGTAATTACAATGAAATATAGTGTTAATAATAATGATTACAGGTGAATATTTACTTCACTAAATAAATTGAAATGAATTGAATTAATATAGAAAACAAGTTAAAAACTAAACTCTGCAAATTTCAAGTATTTTGATAGTTTTATCGCAATTATATTTCTGTCTATTCAAACAAAATTAATTTAAAAGTTGAAAACATCAAAGTTTATGAGTTTAAAAAGTTGATACAGTACTGTATAATAATGGTTACAAATATTGATACAGTATTTCGATTACGAGTACAAAAACCTCAATTAAAAACGATTTGTATATAAATTATAATTTGCTTGATATAATTCTTCCGGATATCTAAGACTATTAAAACCTTAGAATTGATTTCAAAATCAGTTTAGCAATGATTATGAAGTTTATGAAATGTGTTAAATAAGTTCCTATGAGTGGAGGAGATGTAATAAATTAGAGATAAGTTTTTCTATTAATAAATATTTGCTTTTGTTTTATCAGAAATAGTTTCGGAAATAGTTTATGAAAAGTACAGTAATGTTAAATGAGTTTTTAATCAAATGTTTTGTTGTTTTCAACGCTTAATGACTCAAATCGCAAGAATTGGTTTCGAAATACGTGTGAAATATTTGGTTGTATTTGAATAAAAGAGTGAATAATTTGAAAATACAAGTCGTGTTGAAGTGAAACCTAAGAATGGAAGCAACGGATCAATTGAAGTATCGGTTTCTTGTGTTGGGAGGTATGTCTATGTCATGACTTTGCACTTCAATACTATATTAGACCTAAATGTTCATTAATATTGCATTTCTAATAATATGTGAATACAAATAAAGGCAATGGTTTTATTGGCACAAACTTTGTTCAATATCTGGTCAATGAGAACATCGCTTCCAAGATTCGAGTCGTGGATAAAGTTTTGCCACAAATGAGTTATTTTAATGATACACATAAGGTTTGTTCATTAACTGAATACAGTACGATAGCTGCTATTAACACCAACACTGCTCATTATAAAATACATTTAGATAAGACCTTTAGAAAACACACAATAGTTGTCTAATGCAGTAATACTTCCCGTTTAGTAGACTTAATAGCAGTTCTTTTGATTTTTAAAATTTAGTTTCAATTTTACTATAATATTGATCTAAACAACTTTAGGATTTAAACAAACTTAGAACTTTTATTTAAAATTAATCATTTTAAGATACTGTAATTATTTTTTAAAACTTATCTTATTAAATATTAATAGGTTATACAGTATTTGAAAATATCAATTTTATGAATCATAATACTGTAAATACTATTAAATTGTTTTCTAACTTCTTGCAACTACAGTACTTATTAAAATTATGAGAACTTTATAAATGAGTCTAGTAATGTTCTACAATTTAAAAATATTTTTAAAATATTTTGCAATTTGCATTTTTACTTTTTAATTAACTAATATTCACTTTAATACTAACAGAATATATTTTGCAACCCATTAATTGAATTCAAAAACGCAAACTTAATAAATGTCGGTAAGTATTCAAAAAATGTTTTGCTTGTACAGTATAGTACATATGCATAAAATATTTTAACAATAGTTTTAAAACTTGAAATTTCGCTATAAATGGTATGATTTATGCAAAGAATTAACGAATAAATTGTTTGTTTGGTTGAGATTCGTGTCGAAAGGCGTTTGAAGACGACATAGGATTTGATTTTGTGATTAACTTGGCGTCTGAAACCCGTTGCGGACATTCAGACGCTGTCTACGAAGAAGGCGTTTACAAACTGTCCATCAATTGTGCCAAAGAGGCCGCAAAACAAAGAGTTAAGAGATTTGTGGAGATTTCGAGCGCAGAGTTTGAATGCGAGTCCACAACAGGTCTGCAAGAGTCGAGTCCTCAACTCAAGCCATTGACTCCTTTGGCTAAATATAAACTCAAAGTCGAAAATGAATTGAAAGAAATCCAAGATTTAGATTATGTTGTCCTACGACCGGCTCTCGTCTACGGAATGGGCGACAGAATCTCATTAATGCCACGAATTGTCATTTCATGTGTTTATAAATATTTGAATGAATCGATGAAACTTTTGTGGCAAAAAGACCACAAACTCCATACAATTCACGTCCAGGACTTGTGTTCTGCCGTTTGGTTTTGTTGTCTGAACGGCAAACCCAATGATATCTATAATGTGGTCGATATGGGAGATACCACTCAGGGATCTCTTAACCAAATCTTATGCGATATCTTCGATATTCATTGCGATTATTGGGGAAATAATATGTCGAAAATCATCGTTAAATCGAAAGGTATTGAAGAATTGGTGGAAGAGATCAACGAAAAGCATTTGTTAGGATGGAGTGAATTGTGTGGTCAACACAACATCACAAACACTCCAATCAATCCATACTTATATAAAGAGATGCTTCAGAACTACTCCTTGTGTTTGAATGGAGAGAAACTCAAGAGTTTGGGTTTTACTCATAAAAGACCAAAAATGACTAAAGAATTGATTTTAGAGATAATCAAAGACTATATGGAAATGCAATTATTCCCAAAAATTCTGTAAAATTATGCAAACATTTTGCGCTCATTTAAACAAAACTGAATTCATCATAACTTATACTGTATCGCAAAGTGTCAAAACTTTTATGTGAAATAAACAGTCGATTGATTAAAATTAAATTTATATTTTCATCAAAAAATTGTAATAAAACTCATTTGAAATTTGATTTAAAAAACTGTTGGGATTTGTATTGAATTAATAATCGACAGGGGATTCGCTTTCTACGGATTTGGCTATAGTTTAGTGAAACGATAGCATTGTTTAGTTAAAAGTAAAAGCGAAGAGAAATAATATAATAAAAATAAAATTAATTAATTGATAGCAGAAATGGTTTACAAATCGATATATAATTAAATTGAATAGAAATCAATGTCTAAAACAATCGATTGATTACTTATCTATTAAACATAATATTCAATATTTAATAAAACAATTGACAAAAACGCCGCTCAAACGGGTGTCTAATGGTGTTGTGATGTCTATGTCTGACAACAGGGCTTCTTATTTCGGTCGGAGTTATCGGTCGGAGGAATGTTGATGGGCCTGATGTTCTCGTGCGAGGGGGAGGGGTCGTCGCCCCCCTCGTTGCGGATCTGCTTCTGGGACACAATCCGATAGATTTCGGTCAGGATTTGCTGGAACGCCGCCTCAACGTTAGTCGAGTCCAGGGCTGACGTCTCGATGAACGACAGACTGTTCTTCTCTGCGGATCAGATCACAAAACAGTGAGTCATACAGTGGGAGCACAGGGAGGGAGTCATACAGACAGTGGGAGCACAGGGAGGGAGGCATACATACCGGCGAAAGCACGGGCTTCATCGGTAGGCACAGCGCGCAGGTGTCTTAAGTCGGATTTGTTGCCGACTAACATAATCACTATATTCTGGTCCGCGTGATCGCGCAACTCCTTCAGCCATCGCTCCACGTTCTCATACGTCAGGTGTTTGGCGATGTCGTACACCAGCAGAGCGCCCACCGCTCCCCTGTAGTAGGCGCTGGTGATGGCTCTGTAGCGCTCCTGTCCAGCCGTGTCCCAGATCTGGGCTTTGATGGTCTTTCCGTCCACTTGTATGGATCGCGTGGCGAACTCCACACCAATCGTCGACTTCGACTCCAGATTGAACTCATTTCGCGTGAATCGCGACAACAGATTACTTTTGCCGACTCCTGAGTCACCGATCAGTACCACTAATGCCACAGATTATCATATATGGCACGTATTACAGGCCATCCACAGCACCGGTAGGGGAGAGAGAGGTTCGTCAGTGGTTGTGCACAAGACTTATGTGGGTTACAGACCTTTGAAGAGATAATCGTATTCATCGTCTTTGGAGACCATTGTATGAGAAAAACGATTCAATTATTTGTGAATTGATTTGAATTTTGTAATTTTATTACCAAATAATAAGATCAAATTGAGTCGAATCTGTTTGTGCGGACCGTCCGGTATTCATATTTTAGTCACCGATGATGTCGTTCGCAATCTTTCTGAAGAATCAATGTTTTTAGTGGAATTGAAGAAAGGTATCACCATTTCTGGCATTATATCTAATTAGATATTAATTGAAATTTGGTTTGTTTTTTGTATTCTAGATCAAAGCGGAGGCAAACTTCAGGCCCTACTTAAACCATTTAATAATTGAAAAGCATTTATAACCAGTTTTCCACTCAAATTGTTGTTCATTTATTGAGACTTTTTTGTTATACTGTACTTTAAATTCAAGACTTACTCCTATCATGACTGGAGTACAACTTTAACAGCGTCTTAATCATTGGGTTTTATATTCAGAAATATTGTAGTTTTGATATCTTTTATGGAAAATATTATATATTAAATGTTCGGACATATCATTTAACTTTCAGTCCAATGGAAAGTTAACATAGGACTAAAACCATCAGATTTTCTCATAAACTCATTGATATTGTCAAAGCACTAACTCATGAGTTAAACACATCTTTGGAAACAATGGTTCACTCATTTTATATCTTCATTTAGCGAATAGTATTTCATTTTATATTAAATCAAATTATTTTACACCATATTTTCAATTGAAGCCCTTTACAATTAACTGTTTATTTACTTATCGTTTATTTTGAAATTATTATTAACTTGATTTTCATTTCTGATGTTTATAAAAGACTATGCAATCATTGAAATTATTAAAATATTTAATGCATTTCTTTGGACCCTTTCGCCAAAATAACTGTTTCTTTAACTCAAAACTTTAGCCCAGANTTAACATACAGTACGGTATGTTAAAACATATTTAATTAACAACTAACCCTCTATCTGTTTAACGGTGTGTTCACTTTATAGGCAATTATCATATCCTGATTTAAGTTCAAAATTTTGGTATATTTTTGTTTTACGAAATGTTCATTTGATTATTTTTTGTTTAAAACGGCTTTTAACGTTGTTTAAAAGTATTAAAACCATTGTTTTGTGATAAGATGTTCAATCATTAATTTACAGATAACTAAATCAATTAGAGATACATATTTTTAGCTAAAGTTTGCAATTATAATCTCCCGGTTTTATACAGTATATGATATTACAGTACTGCATAATACAAAACAATTTGTTTAAAAAATGATAAAAACTGAATTTGGTTTTAAAATGAATAAATTGTAACAAATATAAAATTCTTTTATAAAAAAATATAGTGCCATAAATGGGAATCAATATTCAATTGTCTGTTTTTGTTCATATTATTGATAAATAAAATGCCTATTTGTATCTATTGTTATAATTGAAATTGTTTTTATTCTCATTATTACACATGTTTTTAGAATATTCAATATTAGAACAAGTAACAAGGTAATTACAATGAAATATAGTGTTAATAATTACAGGTGAATATTTACTTCACTAAATAAACTGAAATGAATTGAATTAATATAGAAAACAAGTCAAAAACTAAACTCTGCAAATTTCAAGTATTTTGATAGTTTTATCGCAATTATATTTCTGTCTATTCAAACAAAATTAATTTAAAAGTTGAAAACATTAAAGTTTATGAGTTTAAAAAGTTGTTACAGTACTGTATAATAATGGTTACAAATATTGATACAGTATTTCGATTACGAGTACAAAAACCTCAATTAAAAACGATTTGTATATCAATTATAATTTGCTTGATATAATTCTTCCGGATATCTAAGACCTTAGAATTGATTTAAAAATCAGTTTAGCAATGATTATGAAGTTTATGAAATGTGTTAAATAAGTTCCTATGAGTGGAGGAGCTGTAATAAATTAGAGATAAGTTTTTCTATTAATAAATATTTGCTTTTGTTTTATCAGAAATAGTTTCGGAAATAGTTTATGAAAAGTACAGTAATGTTAAATGAGTTTTTAATCAAATGTTTTGTTG